ACACTCTCCAAAAGGGCCTAGTATGACTCAGGAATGGACTGTGTCCTGGGTTACTGGGTGCCACAAAGCAACATCTGTCAAAGGCAAAGAAAACAATATCATTACTTTTTATATTGTATTTTTTCTAGGTCAAAAACAAAAACAATACCCCACAAACAAAACAAAACAAGGCAGCTGTTTAAATAAACAAAAGGCATCTGTTTCTCCACTGCTAACACAAAACTTGGAAAAGCAATTTGGGCTGGAGGATCACTTAATTGCCACCGTAAAGCTAGAAAATAAGTTATTCAATTTTAATCTGGCTTGCGAATGTATTACTTGCAAGGCTCAAAAACATCCTGTCCAGCTTTACCTCAAGTTCACTGTCAACTTCAACTGCTGTCATTCTGATCATCTCACCCCAGAAGCCCGACTGGTACATATTTGATCAAACACAGAATGTGAACATGTGTGCATGGGTGACCTCATATCCACAGATAAACTACTTCTATCTTGGACTATGGACAATGGTCATCAGTTCCGTATCTCTAAGCTCCGACTATAAAGAAAGGCATTTTGGCTCTCTGGTTCCCCTGCTGTATGTGCATATAGCAGGCACTCAACAAATCAGTGAAACTAATAAAAGTCATGATGAGCTGAATGTGTTTTGAATTATTTAAAAGACCATATGGAAACAATTATTAAACTCACATAAACTTGTGCTTAACCTACCCTCTGAATTTTCATTAAAAGTCCAATATGAATAAATTTGTTTAATGTGGGGCACACACATTTAACTTTGCATCACAGCACTTGGATGCTAAGTTACAGCCTTGATAGTGTAGAGAAGATGCTGTAGACACTGCAGTGCTCCCCAAGCAGGAAAATATGCCAAGAGAACAAGCCCAACGCAGAGTTACGGGGTATTAAGGAGATTGGACTTGCACACTCCTCTTTCCTAACACTATTTCTACAGGGGATAGAAACCAAGAGTTTGATTTGACTTTCCTAGAATGTTACTCTTTAAACTTGATTTATGATAAACATAAAACATCTTAAGAGTCAGGCAAGTAGTTAAGTTCTAGTTACGGAACTGTTAACACTGATTAAAATTTCTTTCTAATTTGTTCTTGGTAACCAGGTCAGCTGAGGATGGAGTTTGACATAGGGTAAAAGTTACATTCAGGGAACTGAAAATTTATAAAGGCTAAATATAAAAATTTATACATAATAGTGATACAGACACAGGCCAAACTGTTAACAACTGTTACCTCTAAAGAGGGACGTAGGATAGAGGGAGAAGGGAGATTTAAAAAGGAATTTGTGTTTTTTATTCTATATTAAAGGCATAGATTAAACAGAAGTTCAAATTTTTGGTAGCATGAAGTCCTATGTTATAGGAGTTACTACTCAGAGTTGTATAAAGACTCGTTTTAGTTAATTTTGTACTCTTTCCCCATCAACTATACCTTTCCTCCTTACCCTTTTTCCCTCAAATAAAAATGTATTCTGAATAAAGAATCTGCTAAAGTTAACTCCTAGATTTCTATATTAATCACTCAACCCTGGAACAAACATAATGAACTTCAAATGAACTGCAGTTTCTTCATTCACATGCTTAAGGAAGACCCTGATTCTGGCTAAGGACTGGCTTGCATTTAAATTCTATGTTACTAATGAGATCCACCTAATTGACCAGATTCCTTTTTGGAAGGTTTCATGGAAGTCGGAGGCTATTTACAAAAAGGCAAAACACATCCAAAGAGACACGGGGGAAAATAAAATGAAAAAGTCTGTATTTACTGAAGAGCTCCTAGATATGTTGGTATGAGAAAAAGCAAGCTGCAAAACACATACACGGTGATACACAATTTATGCAAAACTTTGAAATTCACAAGACTATGTATTTCTATATGTAAATATATAGGTATATTAATGCATAACGAAAAGGCATTTGAGGAATATATTCCAGAGAGCAATAGTTACCATTTGAGAGGGGGCACCAAGGGCACTTTGACAATATCTGTATTTTTTATTCTTTTTCCTAGAATGTATCCTTACTTACATAATTAAATACAAAATAAAGAACTTTTACATTTCTAGGAAGTACTACATATGATACTTTCCTTAAAATAGCTTGCTACCAAAGATAGTTTAGCAAATACTGTTGTCTATTTTTCAACATTATCATACTTTCTATCCTTGCAATCTCACCTTTTTCTCACTTTTCTACATTTGCTAAAATTTAAGAAAATCATATTAGCTTTTTCTTAAGTATTTGATAATGAAGAGATGATAGTTTCCAGGAAGTACTAAAATCAAGGGTGAGATTTGGTATAGTGGGAACAAAGGCCATTTAAGTAAGCAACCCCATTGCTTAACTGTGGCTTTAATATGATACATTTGGAAATATGTGCAGACTTCCGAAAAGGACAAGATACTTTAAGAATAAGAGTCTTACTGGGTGTGCTAACATTAACTTGCCATGTTTAAGAGAAAGTGTTGCAGTAGAAAGGTTAACACTCAAAAGCACAGTTTTTCAGAAAAGAGATGATACATAAATCCTGGATGGCACAAACAGTGCTGAAGGTTTATCAAATAAAGTGGTATTTATTTAGAAGAGAAGCATTTCAGCTTGAAATTGGAAACTCGTAAGAGTATTTCTAGTTTTTTTTCAATACGTATGATACTATTAAAGTACTTACAATTAAAAAGATTTTGCTCAGTATTGTTATTGTTTTCTTGAAAAAGGAAAGGCCAAAGTCAGACATATGTGTAGCATGAATTTTGGTCCACAACTCCAAATATATTACTCCGTTATAGTTGATTACAAACAGAATGGCAACATACTAAAATCAATGCCTATTATGAAATCAAGTAAATGTAGTTCAATGAATCCCAGTTTTTAATTATTAAAATCTAGGTAATGCATTGTGTAACTCAGAAAAGAGTACTTAAGGATCTATTTCAGTCTCTTTACCTTTAGACATTATTGTGAGGCTCCTGCTGGTCACTACTATATACCCTGTTCTAGAAAATCTCAACATCTTAAATGGTCACGAATTACATATTCCCTCTTTGTCACACTATCTACAAAGAAAACTGTGAACTCTACAATGGCAAACGGAAGTCAAAAGATAAATTCTAAAAGTTAAAGGCACAGATTGAACTATTTTTAGAGATAACATAGTGATAATCATAATGGGCAAACTATACTACTGGAAGATATAAGATCAATGATCTAGATTCCTGGTAGCACTTATAGAAAATTGCAAATTATGTATTAAAGAAATAAATAGTATCACAATCCACTTTTAAAAACATGTTCTGAATATTTGGCACAATGCATAGTTTGCCTTATTTAGAAACTCTTTGATAAAAGTAATGTATTTTTCAAAGTGATTTAAAAAATTATCAGGTTGTAGAGTTTTGTATCTACTTGACTTCCATTCTACTCTTCAATTCCTCTTTCCCTATTTCTCCAATTTTATCTTTTATTACTAAAAATCTAAAAATGAAGTATCATTCTTTTCCTTACGTTAATGCCAAAAAAAGTACTCCACTAGTAATATATGGCTGCTATTAAAAAAAGATTTCAATGCAGTAACAGCCATAGCTTTAGGGTATTCTCAGGAGATACCCTGGACAAAACAAATTCAAACACTCATATTTCATACAATGACATGATGCTTTTTTCTATTCAGATTACCGTTTACCTCAAAATCATTGCAATATACATTTAAGAAAACAATAATCTTCCCCTGTAATCACATAGCAAAACAAGAAGCAGAATATCCATCATCATTACACAAACAATGATTGCATACTTTTAACATAACAATAAAGTATTCAGGTATTTTTAAATGACTATCATAAATCAATTTTTAATTATATATGTTAAGTTATATGTATGTTAATACTTTACTAGTTGAAAAAAATATCGGATCTATCTACCTACTACTTTTAATACACAACACTGTAACTTGTATCTTCCTCCTACTAGCACAATTATCAGAACAGGAACATAAAGGATATATTAGAGAGATGAAGAAAGTATCAGAAGAATTTCCTCAGCCTTGTTTTATCATCTCTTTATCTTTCCTTTGTATACATACTGCAGTTGATTGGTCTTCTTTCATTACCCTTTCACCTTCTTCCTACCTAAAGACCTTTTGGGCTTTAAAACAACAGGCATACCATATTATCTATTGTTGCTATTGAAGTAGCCTGAATTACAAGTTTAAAAAGAAAAAGGAGAATGAAATGCTTGCAGTTAAGATACACATAAATCAAAGGAGAATAAAAAAAAATAATAATATGGAGAATAGTTATACTCCACCAGTAATTACCTGGCAACTCTGGAGCAGAGGTTCCTATCTGAATTTCATACCATTAAAATAGGGTCAAAAATTGAAGTACAGCTCTCTAATTATCAGGCTTTATAACTTATTTTTTGGAATAAAGCTCAATTTCATCTCTAACTAGCTTAAACATTATTTTACTTCAGTGAGAAGAGCTTATTTCCCATCTACATCTACAACAGCAGGAATGGCAAAGCTTTCTTTATTCCATCTGAAAGACAGCCAGGAGGGCATAAAAAAATTTTCCTGCCATACTCATGATTCCTGCTTCCTCCCCTACTCACACAAAAATACTAACTTCACAGGAAATCAAGAGAGCACACAGAGTATAATCATCCCATAAAAGAAGACAATTTTAGCTTATCACCCTGACTCTTCCCACCCGACCCTCCTCAAACACACATAACAAAGAGGTCAGTGTGGTGAGTTTGGTAAGGAGGATAATTAAAGAAGGTCAAGCAAGGGTTCACAGAACACTTAATACTAAGTTAAAATTCTATGTCAATTCATTCAACTTTTAACCCACTTGGGAAGGTTTAAGCTATTAACTTAAAAATACGGTAGTACTTCTTCAGTAACTATAACCTCTTAATTGCTCATATTAACAGCTTTATTGCATTCTACTGCTTCCTCTAAGAAGTAAATCCAGGGACCATTCCATTTTAATCTTATACATAACATTTACTAGTTTTCCAGGCATGACAGAAATGGAAAAATATATATATTTGAACAAGAACAATTTAAGTTAATGTCCACGATCTGTGTTCCTTCTGTGAGCAGTGCCTGATTCTATTAAAATTAAAAAATTGAAGTTCAGTCCTATGCTTAAGAAAAATCTAATGAGGGACTAATTAATAAAGTATACAAGAATATAATTCTATAATAAATCTTTCCAGTGTTCACTATAACTGCATTACACATAATGTTTCCCTCCACAGTAACTCAGAAGGATAGTTCTTATAAATCAAAGAGAACATTCCATATTCATCTCTGGCAAGCAATGAACAAACACAACTTGCTCACAAAGGATCTGAAAGTGATGCCCCAGGAGCATGAACTACCACTAACATGCTATATGAATGAGTCTTGGTGAGTGGCTATTATCTGGAATCTCTTTCTCTCTTCTCACACCAGTGAACCTATGTCATATAAAGGCTAAGAGAAAACTAAAGCTGCTGCAGAAGTGAAACACAGCATGCTCCACTCAAATTCTTCTAAGGTAACCATTTTAAAGGAAAACCAGCAGAAGTCATCTCTTTTATAAAAACAAATACATTAAAAAAAAAAAAAACCCAAACCAAAAGGCAAATGCTGCTGCTCAATCATCAGATGGACTTACAGAGGCAAAATATGTGACAACAGCAATAATTCAAGTAAAGTATGTGTGAAAATTTAAACACGCCACATTCAAGTTAAGACAAAAGTGAAGGGGAGCTATGATCTTTATATCAGAGTCAAAAAGCTTAGGCATTATCACCAAATGTTAATTCACTTTACAGTCATCAATGAAACTACTACATGTATTTTTGCACTTTGCGCTTGTAAAAGCAGATAAAATATTTAATATGTAATATACAATCTATTTTACCAGCTCAGCATACAGGATGTATACAGATTATATCAAAGTAGTAGACAGTTAGGGGCCTGTGCAAACCCTGCAAAAATAGTACTTCGGGTATCTGCTAATTTAAAAAAAACAAAAACAAAAACAGTTTGCTGTTTAGAAGTGATACAATTCAAACTACCACAAAATACAAAGGGCTGCAAAAATGTATACCATTCCCACAACATATATAAGTTATTAAATAAAGATTTGATTTAAAAGAATATAAATGAAGCCTTTAAGTAGGTCTTTTCTACATGCATATTATTCCTCATTAAAGAAAAAAATATGTAAAAAGGCCATTGGTAATTGCTTTGTTAACATTTGTAGAAAATGCCAATTCTCTGGTCACAAACTCCACTAAGTTTAGCACTTAAGGTCTCTGCAGTGTTATAAACGTAATTTAAAATACTGTTAATTCTATAACTCCGTTGGTAAAATAATGTGACTTGGAATATGGCAGTCTTCATGTTGAGGGCAATGATCCACAGTTTTGTTTTAATTTTTTAAGTGTGAACAGTTATCCAGAAGAACAGCACCCTCCACCTCCACTCTGCATTTGAGGTTCATCATCGATAATTTGTACGCCTCGCCTTGCAGTTCCTGGTTGACTAGAGCCATTGCCTTTTGCTCTCTCGTCCACTTGTGCTGTTTCTATCATCCCTAAAACAGGGAGAAAGTAAAAATTATTAGGACCAGAAGTGTTTTCTCTTTCTATAATTTCTGTATAACACAATGATAGCTATTTCTGACTTTCAACCAACAAGGTAACTAAATACGATGAACATTGTGTCAGCCCACTAAAATAGCTTCACCTGCAAGTTTTAAAAACCTAGGATCAAGTAGCAAGCATATTTATCCAGTGGTATAATGAAATTTCAATAAAGACATTTTTTTGTTTTGTTTTGAACAAATGACTGTGTATAAGAGTAATCCTTAAGATTTTCCCAACATACTTAGATTTATGTCCAAAAAAATCAAATTGTTCCAACTATAAGTGATATTTAGGTAGGGTATAGGATTTATTCTTCAACTAGAAATGTAATACATTTAAGCAAATGACATTTGAAAGAATAAAAGAGTTTAAGATGAGGGAACTTTGAAGAACAAAGCTGGAAGACTCGCACTATCTGATTTAAAGATAGAGTATAAAGTTAACACTAATAAAGATAGTGAGATATTGATGAAAGGAGAAACATAGATCAGTGGAATAGAAAACAGAGTCCAGAAATAGATCCCATATATATGGTCTCTTCATTTTTGACAAATGTGCCTATGGTTATTCAATGAAGAAAGGATAATATTTTCAAGAAACAGTCCTAGAACTGGATATCTAAATGTAAAAAATAAAGCTTAACCCATACCACACTGTATACGAAATCAACAAAAATGAATTATAGACTTAAGTGTAAACTGTAAAATAAAATTTCTGGAAGAAAACACAGGAAAAGAATCTTTGTAGCAGAAAATTTTTTTGACTTTGGCTTACACAAAGATTTTGCATATAAGAGAAAAAAACATGAATCATAAAAGAAAAACTGACAAATTGGACCTAAAACTTCTATTCTTTGAGAGACATGGTTAAGAAAAATGAAAATACAAGACAGACTGGGAGAAAGTTATTTGCAAAATACATATCTGACAAGATAACGGAAGAAAAGAGGGAGCTCTTAAAACAGAACAAGAGTTTTTAAATCTGGGTCTATAGACTGCTCTTGAACAATGGTTTCCAATGAGGAAATAAGGAAACATTACAAATTTTCTTGATACTTATTTTTCTTAACCTTTCAAAACTGCCATTTTTTAGCTAAGTTTTAACAAGTATAAAATATTTAGTATTTGTATATGTTATATAATTTAAAAAATGTTTTTTCTTCCACAGACACCATGGTGACTGTTTTTTTTGAGGTAAGGTCTCACTCTGTCGCCCAGGCTAGAATGCAGTGGTGCGATCACAGCTCAGTGTAACCTCTAACTCCTGGGCTCAAGCAACCCTCCTGCCTCAGCTTCCTGAATAGCTAGGACTACAGGTGTGTGCCAACACGTTCAGTTAATTATTTTTTAAGGGATGGGGTCTTGCTATGTTGCCCAGGCTGGTCTCAAACTTCTGGCCTCAAGGAATCCTCCCACCATGGCCTCCCAAAGTGCTGGAATTATAGGCATGAGTCACTGTACCTGGCTATAATTTTTAAATGAATATGGAGAATACTCATTTTTTTTTTTTTTGAGACAGAGTCTCACTCTTTTGCCCGGGCTAGAGTGAGTGCCGTGGCGTCAGCCTCGACCTGAGCTCAAACAATCCGCCCGCCTCGGCTTCCCAGAGTGCTAGGATTACAGGCGTGAGCCACCACGCCCGGCCTAAAGACATAAGATTTATAACATTTGTAAGCCACTAATCCAGAGCCTTGCTACTCAAAGTCTGAGGCCTAGCATCATCACCACTCAGCTGTCTGTAGAAATGGGGGCCGTAAGCCACACCAGACCTACTAAATCAAAATATGCATTTTAACAAGATCCTCAAGTGATTATGCAAAGCAGTGGTTTGCACAATTTAGTGTGTGTCAGAATCATATGGAGAGTTTACTAAAACACAGATTCTGGGCACCATCTCCAGAGATTTTGATTCAGTAGACTTGGGGTAAGGCCCAAGAATTTGCATTTCTAACCATTCTGAAGTGATGTTGCTGCTGATCAGGGGACTTAGATAATCACTATTCTAGAAGAATTATGAATGACTTCAGGGCTTCATAAAACTGAAATTTAACCCAAAGCCTGTGTGTGTGCATGTGTGTGTATGAATATAAATTTCTAGAGCAAAAAACAGTTTCACCAAATTCTCAAAAGAGTCTATGGTTTATAAATTCAGGGACTACAACTTGATAAAGTAATTTCCATCCATTATTACATAGACTAGGGATTTTCTAAATACAGTATGTATTCCATTGGTGATATGAGAAATGACTTTCAGGTTATATACAAAGAAATTTATT